TATACAGGGTGATTCAAAAGGTAAGGTCAACCGGCGAGGAGGTGGTTCAGGGCGATGTTTAGAGTAGAAAAGTCCTTTGCCATTTTTTTTATTTGCAACCGTTTCACAGTTACAACAGGTCAAACATTTAATTCACAATTCAGGAGATGTACTTGCTTACGATCATGAAAATAATAATAATATTAGTAATAGTAATAATAATTGACCTTCAGTACCCTTTATTGGAGCAGTTGCTCGAAATGTTCTCCTCTTGCACGCAAGCATGCCCGGGCGCGTTCTCTAATAGCGTTGTGCACACTATCCAACAGTCCGTTTTGTTGTCTGATGTCTGCTGCAGCTGCATCAATTCGTTGTAGTAGAATATCTCTGCATGTAATCTCTGTAGCGTACACCCTATCTTTCATATAGCCCCATAAAAAGAAGTCCAGAGGTGTTAAATCAGGGGACCGTGCCGGCCACGCCACAGGACCTCTCCTCCCTATCCATCGACCCGGATAGTGTTCATCCAACCACCGACGCACAGGGAGTGCGAAATGTGCCGGCGCGCCATCCTGCTGATACCACATGTGCTGACGCGTATTGAGAGGTACATCTTCCAGCAATGTGTGCAGAGTGTCCTGAAGGAACTGGAGATACTGTGCGCCTCCTATTCTGTCTGGCAGCACGTATGGACCAATTAAACTGCCACCAACTATTCCAGCCCAGACATTGACATTAAATTGGTGCTGATATGAGGAGATTCGTGTAGCACGAGGATTCTGATCCGACCATACATGCAAATTATGTAGGTTCATAATGCCGTCTCGTGTGAAATCCGCCTCATCAGTCCATAAAACATGGTTTAGGAAGTCTGGATCGTCAACAGTTTTGTGTAGAAGCCATCGACAATACTCCCGACGGCATCCATGGTCTTTTGGTGTGAGCTCTTGCACAGGACGTACGTGGAAAGGATGTAGTCCTTGATCATGCAGTACACGCCACACTGATGATTGTGGCATACCTATGCGACGTGCAATTTGTCGAGTACTAATTGACGGCTCTGCATGCACAATATCAAGAACTTCGATCTCTTGCTGCACATTACCCCTAGGACGACCACGATGATGTTGTTGTAGTATGCCTGTCTCTCCCAGCCTTCCGTGTATGGCTTCAAACACGCGTCGTCTAGGATGTTTTCGCTGTGGAAATCGTATCGCGTATTCTCTCTCGGCCTCTGCAGCATTACCATCACAGAATCCATAAACATAATGCATGTCCCGATACTCCGCGTTACTAAACATTTCGATCTACTTTCTTGAGCTATTCTGTTGAAACTGAACTACAGTTCGTAGAGCATTGACAACCTTGTTTACCTTGTTTTACATTGTTTACATTCGCCAAGGGCATGCTTGCGTGTTATTTTCACGATCGTAAGCAAGTACATCTCCTGAATTGTAAATTAAATGTTTGACCTGTTGTAACTGTGAAACGGTTGCAATAAAAAAAAATGGCAAAGGACTTTTCTACTCTTAACATCGCCCTGAACCACCTCCTCGCCGATTGACCTTACCTTTTGAATCACCCTGTATAGTAATAGTATTATATGTAACATGTGAATGGTATAAAAAGCTCTTAAAGGAATTATTATGTGAGAGTGGTTAACATATTATAAATGGTAGCGCATAATAAGAAATAATTTGTAAACGTTAAGCAACTTAATGTATGTCTAATTAAGATCGTTACCTGATTATTAATATAAATGAGATATACAGGGTGATTCAGACCACCCGTACAGCCCCTTTATTTCTGAAATAGAACATTTTAGAGAAAAATGTTTCAGGCAAAAGTTATACGGTTTTAAAAGGGCTATATAATGAAAAAATAAATTTTCGAAAAAATAAATTTTTTATGGTTATATGGAGGTCGCTGTCATTTTTTTAAATGGAACTCCCTATTGTTTATTATACTATCTTATTCTACTAAATAATATGAATAACTTTTGTCTGAAACATTTTTTTATTTGCCTACTACT